GCTGAAAAGACATCTTCCTTAACTGGTATCCCACAAAAGTCAAATTGACTTTTCTATTCACGCATCAGTTCAAGTGAAAGAGAAGGGCACTAAAACAGAGTGTAGCCTATGAATGGAAACGCCTGATGTTGGTTTGTATGAGCCAAGGATACAAAAACCTGCAGCTGGCAGCAGGACTCGCTTACGTTCTGCCGTCCTCAGCCATAGCAAGCTTAGTGTTGGCTCAGGAAAGGTGATACTTGAGGTGAATGTTCTTCCTCAAGAATAAGCCCTTCCCTCATCCCTTTAAAGAAGACCTTACTTGAACTTCTTGCCTTTTAGTGCTGTGGACATAAATGGAAAGCAGGGACAGAGTGAGTCTGAGAATTCTGATTTTCCAGCTGTGGCAGGTAAGAGCCCGGCTCTAAAACCATTTTGAACAGACACACTTTATATGTACATAGCCTAGCATTCCTGGAGAGAAAATTTGCTCTTTTTGAGGATTAACTTTACAGGAAGAAGCTATTTTGGAATCTAGGAAAAGAAATGTTTATTTGTAAAACCAGGACTGTTTGAGACGGAATGCCATCCCCGTGTCCCAGAGTAGCGTGCCGAACATGAGGCTGCCCATTTGCATCACTTGTACAATAACATGCAGTATGCTGTAAATGTGTTTCCCGCTATCCTGCCCTGCCAGCTTGAGGACACTTAATTACAACTCTTTCTATAGGCTGGTTATTCCTGTAAGGTGATATTTTTTTTTTGTCAGTTGGAGATGTTATTTTCATCATGGTAGGCCTGGGATTCTGTAGCTAGCTGAGGACCAGCGTTCTGGATTTGTTCCCTCTTACAGGCAAATCCATTTGTGTAGCTTTTAATAATGTAGTGTTCTCCTGGCGAGGCATTTCTGAGCGTTGTACTTTCGGCTGTGCACCTGCAAGCAAAGCCTAAACTGTTAAAACCAACTCCACAGTGATCTGTTTCTTGCAGGAATGATTTCAAAACGTTGAGTGGGATTTCATAGTTTTATGGGATCTTGCAAAATCTTAGATGGCTTTAATAAGCTGTCATGCATTTCAGTCCATGATTGATACATGCTCTGGGTTTGGGTTTTTTGTTGTTCTTTTTTCCATCCAGTGGATGTTGCCCAAATGTAGTTTAACTTGCCAGTTAAACTCCTTCACCCTTCTCTTCATTTTCTGGCAAACACTTCAAAACGTTAGTCTCCATTGAATGTGTTTATGAAAAATCTGTTAGCTTTGCTCAGTGTATGTGTGGTTTGGTTTGGTTTTGGTGGGTTTTTTTGGGGGGGAAGGTGGATGGAAGAGGTGTGAAAAGGGGTTGTTGAATACTGTCTGGCTTTAGGCATGCAATCTAGACTACTGACTTCAGCCAACAGAGATCATGATCACAGGCAGTGGAGAGCCACTGGACTAGGAGTCTACCTGCCGAATGGCTTCACTGCAGTGAATCGTTGTCCGGAGGTGAAGACATCTGCCCGCTGCATAGCTCAACAGAACCTGAGTACTATTTGTGTCCTCCTGCACAGTTAACTTGAAACGATCAGAATATCTTAGGGCTTTGAGGTGTCCAGCTCTAGCTGATGGCACTGTGTGTCTAATCCACCCTGATAACTTCTAAAAGGAGCATCCAGAATAGCGTGGAACAGAGGGAATAAAGGTGAGCAGAACTGTAGGCATCTACTTCTATTACTGAAAAGTACACTTGGTGTATTTGCTGTCAGGATAAAAACCATATTTGCAAAATGCTGGATACAAAAAAGTACAACTCCGCAGAGCCTCTTGAGTCCTTCTCTGACACTTTAAAGCTACTTGTGATACGTTCACCTGGTAAAAGCAAGTAAGATATTATATTTGGGGTGTGTGTGTGTGAACATTGCAGTACTTGATTGTATAATAGCATTTTCCTGTCCCTACCTCGGAAATAGGGTTACTAATTAAGTATTAGCTAACTACTGGGGATCTCTTGCACTGTGGTTTACAAGCAAACTGACTACTGGGATTCATGGGGATCTTTAGTTGTTAGTAATAATGAATACTAATTAGCAGCATAGTATCTCGGAGAGTGCCAAGTGAGGATCCGGAGTACGTGTTTGCACAGCAGTTACACATACTTTTTCTCACCCTTTCTCTAGGTGCTGCTGGATCAGATATTGCAATTACAGTAATGTAATTACTTTGTCCTCTATGCAGCTGTTGAATGTACAACCAAAATTTTCATAAATAAACATCTTTTTTTCTGATAAGTTATTTAATACTAGAAATGAGGAGGAACGTGCCTGGTGAATGGCAATTCTCTTGGCTTGTTTTCATGGTGATGAGATTTAATGAACTACAGGAAGAGATCATAATTTTGTTGGCAGCAGGATAAGGGCAAGGCTAAAAATTGCCACATCTGATGATTACCTTTGGAGTAAAACACAAAAAACCATTAGCGATAGACATCTGGAACAGATGCTGGGAGAGTATGATTACACTGATGTCTCAGCATCTTAAATTTCTCTTGAAGAGTACGTAAGGTAGAGAAAAGCTTCTTTTCAGTCACGAGACTGTACATATTTTTCTGACTAAACCACCAAATACTTTGCATCAGGATCTCTTTGGCATATCTTTTTGAAAGGTATTTGTAAAATGTCATGAAAGCAGTTTGTGCAGAAGGCCAGCTATGTTACAAAGTCAAGTAAGGTCAGAGTTGTCAAAGGATAAAGAAATATAGAATGTATAATAATGCAGCAATGGTTCGTGAAGTGATTAATTTGTATTTTATTTTCCCCAAAGTGTCTTTACCTAAGTCTTATAAAATGCTCACTTTTTTTAAATATGGTTCGGTCTTGATTTTTTTTCATGGAGTTTAACTTGAGAGTAACCAACCCATTCACAGAAGCTAATATATACAAGAGGTGAAATCTTGTCTCCCCTGAAGTCAAGGACAAAACTCACATTAACTTCAATGGGGCCAGGATTTCACTTACTATGTTGCCCAGTAGACCAGTGTGGAAGAAAACCAGTTGCCTTAGGGATTTTTAATATGCAGCTGACTCAGTTGAACAAAAAATGTTTTACTTGTCTGACATTCAGGTAAAATCATGACCGTATTGAACTTTCTTTTGCTAACTGCATTCTGGATATCTGTAACGGTTGTGACATACATTCTGCTCTTGGTTGTGCTAGCTAAAAAAGGAGAAAAAAACCAGGCTCGAAAAATATTTGAAAAATCAGATAATTGCTAGTGAAAATTTGTTGGGGAAAATAGATGCAGGTTTTTTTCTTCCGAGTATTTTTCTTTTACGCAGGGAAAACAGGCAATAAAACAGTTTCTCTAGACTGTTGGCTTGCTTTCTGTTTGGTTTTTTTTTTAATGCAAAAAGAGGGCAGATGCCCAGGAAAGACGGCAAAAATAGCTGAAGGGGGGAATTCAAATCTGTGAGTAGGACAGGAACAATACATTTCTCCAGAATCTACTGCCATATCCAGTTTTGCTCGGTATAATTTCTTGTAACGTTTTCTTTCCGAGTTGTGTTTATCCTTGGTAGCAGGTTCAATTAGCATCGTGTTCCCTAAAGCCTTCTCCACCAATAAGCCATACTTGCTGGGTGGCTCCTCTGCTGCTCAGAGTAGCCAATAAAGCCATCTGGGCTCTGCTATGTGTTTCTACTTCAGAAGCTGAAAACTTAACTGATGGGTGTCCTCCACTCTGGGACCGACGGACAGAGCAGCTTAGATAGGGAGGCCAGCAGGGCTGACCTTGGCATAGTCTCAACTTGGCTAAAACCAGGAGCACGCCCTAAGCGTAGTTTTAGTGAGGCAGAGAGCACTGTTTGTAGCAGTTTTCTTGCATATTTTTCTAAGTGAAGTAATTAGTGGTTACAGTACTGTGCTTTATGCTGGGCTAGTCTGTATTTACATCCCCTTAAACCACATGGCGACTGCTACTATGCCCCAGACTTTCCCCTGTGATTCCAGGAAGGACTGAATCCAAAATTATTGTTTTACCATACCTGTGTCAAGAACATCGGTTGCAGGCAGCTGATGACCACAACAGTCTGTCTCAACAGGGGAGCTTTAGGAACCACAGAGGCCAGGTTTTGCCCATTTAGTTTTCCTAGCCCACTGGTAGCCACCACGCCTGGTTCACTCAGGGGCCAAATCTGTTCCTCTGTGCAGGGCTTCCTGTTTATAATTTCTCTCAAGAGACTCATCACCCTAAGATCATTGTGGTGGGTGGAAATGGCTCTGAGTGCTGATCGCTGTCTTCACTGTTTCAATTGGTCTTAATAAGTTTTTCTCTGTGACAGTCAGATGAACAGAGGAAGAGATTATCAGCCACTTCTATTAGCCAGAGAAGTCAGAAGAGGGGGTTTTACCAAGAAAAACAACCGAGTTCACTACAAGAATACATAAGATAAACTAAGATGCTTCCTGCACTTGAATGTTCAAGCTTACTTAATGATCTTTGGCAGTAAATCAAGGCTTAGGCCTGCCTGCATAAGAAACTCTTCTCTGCTTAAACTAAACTAATTATTGCTACAGTGTACTGATACTGGATGCAAACACTCTGGAACCAGTTTCAGCCTCCGGGGGTAGCTTTGGCAGCCTGTTTCAAACCAAGGCTCTTTAAACTGTTTAATATATATTTCTACTTGTAGCTAGTACCAGCCTAACTACATGGATTCTGCAACAGGAGAGCAACTCTTTGTAGCTGAGCCCTTTCCTCTTAGCTCCCTCAGACATTTATCTGTCTGTAACTTGCAGACCTGAGCACCTTCTACCATCGCTAAGTGGCTGCACATCCTGAAAGGGAACGAATTTTGGTACGTGACTTTCATGGTTTACCCTGGAAGAAAACAAGTTTCACTTGCAGCAAAAAGCTTTTTAAGTATAAGGTTCCTGGAGTACTAAAGGCCACTGTTAGAAAAAATTGCTACTTCAATAAACAGACATGTTTTGTGGCAGTTTCTTCCCCAATTCCATTAATCTTTTTCATTAAAGGAGTGACAGTACCTGCTCTGGAGTTTTTTGGGAAAGAATAGCCGTTGAACCTCCTGCCTCTTTGGTAGGATAGTCGGGAAACTTGCCTATGATATGCCTGTGTGAAAAACAAAAGTGAGAAGGAATTAAAATCTGTAATTTTTCATCTGGTTGACAAAGATGTTAGATGGTGGGGAAGCATATCCTTCCTCACCTTCTATTCAAAAACAGAGAGCTGGATCGCTGCTTATAACAGGAGCTTTTTGTCCGGTAAGTTCATTAAAGCTGTTATCAAGCCATGTCCCCTGGCCCATCAAACACTGAAATTTCTTCCGGAATTTCTTAGGGCTGCACGTCACTTCATAGCTAAGAGACTTAGCTTAAAGTGTTTGTTTATAGTTCTGCTCTCAACATCCAGCTTTTTAGAAAGAAATTAATTTTATTTAAATTAGGTTTTGATCTATAAATTCCAGATTATATTTCTGTGTGAGGATCTCCACCCTCAAATTTCCCACGTACTTGCACAATTGGGTGGTGACAGAAGCTGTATCAGTAAGATATCAGTAAGATTTTTCTGTTTGGTAGATCTCCACCCTCAAATTTCCCACGTACTTGCACAATTGGGTGGTGACAGAAGCTGTGAGGGGGCAATAAGTGACTTTGTGGCAAGGTTTCATGGATGGCATGGATAACATAGGGTGCTTCCAGACCTTTCAGAAAATATTAAAAGATATAAATAACTACAGTCTAAAGACCATTTATATTGATAGGACTCTTTAACTTCTTCCACTTTTGTAGGTTTTTGGATTATATCAGTAAGATTTTTCTGTTTGTTTGGTAATATCAGGAAGATTTTTTTGTTCCAAAGAAAATTCTGCCGCTTCAGAAAAATCCTTCTACTACTTTCAAATAGAATGGTAGTGTTTCCTCTAAATGAAATGAAATTTCCCTTGAGAAGAAAACAGCTCAGAAAGGTCAATGTGATTCATAAAAATTACTTTCATTTTTTTAAAACAACTGGTACCTTAAGGGACTTTCCTAGTCTACTGTTTAAGCAGTAGACTCAATTTTAAACTGAGATCCTTGGAACAGAGCTTCTGTTATGTTTCTATAGTACCATGTGTAGGGTTTGGATCCCTAGCCTAGTATTAATGTAATACCAATTACGAAAGAATAAACAAACATTCATCTGTGATTGTAAGCTCTGACTTGCATGTTCAACAATTACTACTTCTATATGCAAACAGATGCAAAACTTTGGTCATTGCATTCCCAGAAACCAGCCTGTATGAACAAAGGGGTGTCATTGTTAGTGTTTTTTCTCTCTCTTTTTTTTTTTTTAAATCCAGTAAGAGTGGGATTTTGGCCTCAAAAAAACCTGCATTATCTAGTTTGTTTAATGTTAGATGACGTTTCATTTTTTACAAACAGCCAGAAAATAGCTTATTTTTATGTTAAATGCAGTCTTGTTTTAAATGCTGCTACAAGTCTGGCTTACAGTAACAAATTTCTCAAAATCTGCTATGAAGGCTGTTGTTACTTTACTCATGCCAGCTGGGAGGAAGGAAAGGCAATATGCACTGCGGGTGAAAAATCAGTTTGGAGTCCACCACCCACTGAATCTGGTATCAGTGCCAACTTTCAATATTTATTAGTATTATGTTTGGTATTTGTATTAGTTTTTTCACTTTTAAATCATTTACAGCTCTTGGAGATGGAAATTTTTACCTTTTGGGTATGTATGATGAGTGTATACCTGAGTGCTGTAGAAATTCTATCAAATTCTGAAATTTGGAAGTGGGTTCCAGTTTGTTTATAAGCTGTATTTTCTGCGTGATTCTTCTGCTCGCAGCTGGTGCAGCTGTTTGCAATGACGTGGCTCATCTCTTTTTGCAGCAGCTACAGCAAGTGCTTATGTTGAAAACTAACTTAAGGCGAGGAGAAGGCAATGCCAATCTTTTCACACAACTGGAAGAAAAACCATCAGCCATTTATTAAACAGCTAGCTGCCCAAGGACTGGGTCTTTGGTTGAGGGCAATGCAGAATCTAAGTTCCCATGGTCATCAGTGACCCTGAGAGCAGACGGCTACCGCATGTTTCAGTCATGCTAATTCTTCAGGGACATGTGTTTTTTTTTTTTCTTTTGGACTTCATCCTTTCCTGTGTACTGTTGTTTAGCATATCAGTTGCTGCCCAGTGGTCAGGGAGTGGTATTCTTAAGTCTCATTTCCCTATCTGACCTCTTGTGGGTTTTCCTCTTTCTCTTCTACAACTTCAATCTTGTAATGCCTCGAAAGCATGCACATGCCTGACCCTTACAGATGAATTCCTCTCTTCATGAAACCCTCTGAGTTCAGAGGTTAAACCAGGGATTCATTTGGCCTGTAAATCTGCACAGAAAAATGCAGTCATTGATCTTCCTGGTCAAAAGTCCACTTTAAATGCAATGAATCTCCATTTTCATTCTCCATTCACTTTTTGGCAGCATTCTACTCAGAACTATCGCAATGGAGTGTCTCATGCATTTGTAAGATGCTAATTTGAATTCAACTAGAACTAAAGCATTTTGTACAAGCTTGTTTTACAGTTGTGGATGATGACAAAACATCAGGATAAAATGAGCAGCCAGCATGCTCTCCATGAACAGCCAAGGATATCGCTGTATCTTTGTTCCATTAGATAAGCTACGTGTCATCTACGCCTCAAGAGGGTCCTGCCCCGTTGAAGAGTGAACAGCTCTTGAATTAGGAGAATCTCCTAAACATGTAGAATGATTTCGAGCTTGCCTTACAATAATAATTGTTCAAACAATTTTAAACTACCTTCCCATTTTGAAACTTCCTAGAAACAATGAAGAATTCATGATTAGAGCCAGTTCAAAGGCAACAATACTGGAAGAAAATTAATCCAGATGATGTAAGAACTTGCTCCAAACTCGAGCCTAGCATGCTTTTTTGTTCTGCTGGAAGTGTAGAGGAGTTTTACGGTGAAAATTCTTTGTGGTTCCTAGATGTTGCACTAATGGCACAACCACACTATAAACCAAGGCTTACAGAAGGTGGAGCTGCAGAGGTTCCCGGAGTCAGCAACTAGTCTGAAAACTGCACTGGGGCGTAGAAGAACATTATACCTGCACCTGCACTGCTCATTAACTCCAAAAGTTGAGCTGCAACTGCAGTTGCCGTAAGGCTTTAACGCGTTGGAGATCACCGACTGTGAATTTCAGACTGGTGGTTGTTATTTAGATTGCTCTCTTGGTTGAGTGAAAAAAAGAAAACTACTTGATCTGCATTTCCTCTAATCTGCCTAGCGTTTATTTTCAATATTCATAGTACCTTCACACTTTCTTTCCATGTCAGTCACTATATCTAGCTGACGGATTATCCACAAAGTTCACACACCCTGATACTTTCTCTGCATGTCACTGAAAAGGGAGCACTGGAAAAAACTAAACCGGTGGTCAGGAAAGTCTGAAAGTCGTATTGCATGTTGATGGGGAGAGAATGCAAAAAGCTTAAGCTCTTGGTAAGGAGAGTATTTGAGTCTGTAATATATTTGAGAGACATGGTACATGTCAGAAACACCTGGTTCTGAGGCAAGTCAAAACTCAATGAATCTGTTACTTATTATTGTCTCAATATTTGCAGTGGGGAAAAAAAAAAAATCCACTTGTGCTTTTCCAGCATATCATAAAAATGTGTAAATGCCAGAATTGGAAGAAGCAACTCTTATTTTCAACACGATTGCTTTGGTGGGAGCGCTGACCATGTGTTTAAGGACTGCAAGCAAAGGCAGAAGCAAATTCTATTGGATTTCATATGGAGGATGCAGTTCTAATAAAACTGTTTGCCTAAATGAACAAATGAAATTTGTAAAAAAAAAAAAAAAAAGTATGGCTGCTTGGTAGGACCGGACTTGTGGCTGCACAGAAGTAAATAAGATGAGATGGAAGGGTAGGGCTAGGAAGAAACCTCCACCTTGCGAGACAAACTTCAGCAGTAGCCTAGGGAAGCCCTTCTAGACGAAGGACCCCAAAGCTTGCTGCTTCCCAGTCTGCAGGCAAGGAGCTGAGGATGGTTCCTGTGGGCGACCTGCTCCTTGTTGTGTTTTCACAGAACAGAAACTTGTGTTTGGGAGCTTTGCTTGCACTCCTGCAAATCAAACAGTGCTGGAGTTCACAGCAGGCAAACTATCTTTCTTTGGGTCGGAGTCACTGCTTTAACAGAACTACTGAAGGTTTCTGTGCTGCGGAGGATGCTGCTGAAGAAGGGACCTTTAGAAACTGTGGTATGTGAGAAATCCATTACTTTTCTGGCAAGGAGTGAAATCCTGTCAAGGGGAGCATAGCATGGGTTTGGTAAACAGCTTTACAGAAAAGCCATCTAACTGGAATGAATGGGGGCCCTAAATCTGAATCAAAGCAGCTCAACCAAAAGAGTAAGGCGGATGAACAAAGGTGGGGAGGAGTGAAAAGAGATGATCTTCCACTCCCAACTGAAAAAGAAAAATGATCTGATGAGATTTTTGTGCTGTTTCTCGAGTTACATTCTGTTCTCTGGTTCACTGTTATTGCTCTCCCCCTTTCCAAACCTATTCCTCTTAAAATAACTTAGATTTGTCAACTGTAATTGAAAAAGAATGATCTTTTATGGTCTACAATGCAAACCCTTTTGTCTCCGAAGGTGTAGCACAGAGTTCTGACTCTTCTGGGCTCGTTTTTTGTTTTAGTGCACAACCCACATAAACGTCTAAGTGTTAACCAGGTTCGAATGGCTCTTTAACATCTCCAAATCGTCACCAGACTTGGTATGAATTGGTGTGATTGGCAGTCTCTGCTGAAGTCTCAGCTCAGCCCTGAATGCTGCGGCACCTCAATTCTGACCTATAAACCAAATTCCTCATCTGGGAGAAGCCCTTGTGCTGTGCTTGTTTCATCCGCTGCTTCCTTCTCTCCTTGCTTCAGGAATATCACCTTTTTTTTTTCTTAAGTGTGTTTTTTTTTTCCTCTATTCCACTTTGCTCAGGGATGGTTATAGTTAAGGCTAAATATGGCTGTTGATTTATGAGAACACATCATTGATTTAAACATTTTGTCTGGTAATAGACTCAACAAGTTA